TGCTTTGTTGACAGTTTAACCTTGCTGTTTGGCTTGGGTGGAGTCCTGGCCAGGCACTCCCATTGAGTAAACAAGAGGATTGTTGGCTCCATAAGGAAATTTGGAGGATGGGAAGGGAAGGTCAGTATCCCTATTCTCAGGGTGTTTCAGTTCTCCTGCTTTCTTTCAGGTAGCCTTTTATTACTCAGTAGGCAGTAACTCCCCAGAAACTCAGAACTTGCAGGACCCAGGGGTTCACCAGATATCTGGGAGCAGACCTGACCTCTCCCCAGGAAGGGGGATTTTCTCTTAGCCCAAAGGTCTAAGGGGCCACCATGACAATACAGGAAAAAGTCTAAGGGCTGCCTTTCCATTTTGTTGAGGATTCCGTTTGCTATGCAAGAGCTTTTTAGTTTGATATAGCCCCGCTTGTTTATTTTGCTTTTGTTGCCTTTGCTTCTGGAATCAGATCCAAAAATCATCACCAAGGCCCATGCCAAGGAGCTGACCACCTAGTTTTCTTGTCTCAGGTCTTCTGTTCTTTAACCCACTTTGGGTTAATTTTTGTGTATGGTGTGAGATAATGGTCCAGTTTCTTTCTTCTGCGTGTGGCTGTCCAATTTTCTCAGCACCACTTATTGAAGAGACTGTCCTTTCTCCACTGTATATTTTTGTTTTTTTTGTCATAGATCAATTGACCATACAATTGTGGGTTTATTTCTGGGCTCTCTATTCTGCTCCATTGATCTATGTGTCATTTTTTATGCCAATACCAAACTGTTTTGATCACTACTGCTTTGTAATACAGTTTGAAATAAGGGCTTTGTTCTCCAGCTTTGTTTTTCTTTCCCAAGATTGCTTTGGTCGTTTGGGTTCTTGTGTGTTTCTGTACAAATTTTAGGAGTGTTTGTTCTATTTACTTTTTTCTTTTAAAATTTCTTGTTTATTCAGTTTTTTGAGAGACAGAGACAGAGTGTGAGTGGGGGAGGGGCAGAGAGAGAAGGAGACACACAATCTGAAGCAGGCTCCAGGCTCTGAGCTGTCAGCACAGAGCCCGACATGGGGCTCAAACCCGCTAACGGTGAGATCATACCCTGAGCTGAAATCAGACGTTAACCAACTGAGCCACCCAGGCGCCCATGTTTTTTCTATTTCTGTGAGGAATTTTGATAGGCCTTGCATTGAATCTGTACATTGATTTGGGTAGTATGGAGATTTTAACAGTATTGATTCTTCTAACCCATAAATATGGAATATCTTCCCATTTGTGTTTTCATTTTCTCCCTTCAATGTCTTATAACTTACAGTGTACTCGTCTTTCAAAACCTCTGCACAGCAAAGGAAATCATCAACAAAACAAAAAGGCAACCTACTAAATGGGAGAAATTATTTGCAAATCATATCTGATAAGGGGTTAATATCCAAAATATATAAAGAAACCATACAACCCCATAGCAAAAAAGACAAATAATCCAATTAAAAAATGATAGAGGATCTGAATCAATATCTTCCCAAAGACATACAGATGGCCAACAGACACATGAAGATCCTCACCAGTCACCATCAGAAAAATGCAAATCAAAACCACAATGAGACATCACCTCAAATCTGTCAGAATGACAGATTATTGATATTGTCTTATTATCAAAAAGACAAGAAATAATGAGTGTAGGAGAGAGCATGGAGAAAAGGGAACCATTTTGCACTGTTGGTGGGAATGTAAACTGGTGCAGCCACTGTGGAAAACAGTATGGAGGCTCCTCAAAAAGTTAAAAACAGAACTACCAGATGATCCAGCAATTCCACTTCTGGGTATTTATCTGAAGAAAACAGAGACATTAACTCAAAAAGATATATATACCCCATGTTCCTGGCAGCATTATTTACAATAGGCAAGATCTGGCAACAACCTGTGTCCATCAGTGGATGAATGGATAAAGATGTGGTGTGTACATCTGCCTGTGCATATTATCTATAATGGAATATTATTCATCCATAAAAAAATGGACTCTTGCCATTGTGACAACATGGATGGACTTTGAGGGTATTATCCTAAGTAAGTCGGACAAAGACAAGTACCATATGATTTGACTTATAGGTAGAATCTAAAAAACAGAACCAAAAAAGCCTGGGCTCATATATACAGAGAACAGATAGGTGGTTGCTAGAGGTAGGGGGTAGGGGGTAGGCAAAATGGGCAAGGATGGTCAAGAAATTATAAAATAAGTCATGGGAATGTGATGTATAGCACACTGTCTACAGTTAATAATACTGCATTGTCCTCATTGCAAAAAAAAAAATTTTTTTACCTATGTATGATGACAGATCATAACTAGACTTACCATGGTGATCATTTTGCAATGTTTACAAATTTTGCTTGCCATACTATGGTGCTGCCTATTCTGGACATTTTACGTAAGCAGAATCATGCAATATGTGATCTCTGTATCTAGCTTCTTTCACTTATTAGCCTAATGTTTTCCATGTTCATTCATGTTGCAACATGTGTCCGTACCTCATTTTTACTGCCAAATAATATTCCAGTGTATAGAGTCCTAGAAATCTCTTCATCCCCGGAAAGCTGAAAACCTTGGTTTACATTCCCACTTCTCCTTGTTGCTTTAGGATGAGCACTGTAGGCCTCTGAGTGTTGGCATTTTTACTTGCAAAACCATCTGATCCCTAGCAGACCTCCAGATGGATCTGGGGAACCACACAGCTGTTTTGAGCACCTAACACCTTGGAAGCTGTTTGGAGCCATCCCACTGCTGTGTTCCATGCCTTAAAATGTGGCTCTGGAGCTCTGCTGACCTTTAGAGGCTTCTTAAGACAAGATGCCATATAGGGGGATGTCTGCTCTGTGCTATGTAAATCCTGAGGCAGACACAAAGATTTACAGAGCTGCACTTAAGCTCTTAAGCGGAAACCTTTATCCACCAATCAATAACACAGAAAAGTGGGAATCAGGCTGTCAAAACGATAAAGAGGCAGTCAGGCCTGGAGCTAGTTTTAATTTGACTGTTTAACTACTTTTCTAAATATCACAAAACACATTATTACAGTGATAACGGATTCCTTAGTGGAGAGAGCTGCTTTTGATAAATAGCTTCATGCAAGGCCGAATGTAAGGAGGAAAAATTAATCTTCTACCACCTCTAACTTTGGAGGCAATGTGGCACACTAATTTGGGGTTTGGAAGCCTCTGGATCTGGGTCTGGGTGGGGCCCTTCACTCTTTACTTGCTGACCTTGAGTCCTTAGGGCCCCTTGACCAGTCGGTGCTCCGTGCGCTGCCATGACAGTGCAATCACTGGCTATTCCAAAAAGCAGTTGGCTCCATGCCTGACCTAAACACTCCACAACACAGGCCATTGTTATTTCAACTCAAAACTGAGGGACATTATGTGTAAGTATGCTTACCTGCTCATAACTTTCAAGATAATTTTCAAGGAGCATTCAAGGATCTTGAGAGTAAAGAGGCCTTGGAAGTGCCTGATATGACCTCTTATCTGGACAGGGATCCCTTCTTGAGTACCCTTGAGTGCTGGCAAGGGTGGGGATGTATATGACAGAGAGCCTGTCTTCTTTTAGGACATCTTTCCTTGTTAGAAACCTGAAAATGGTCTGTAACTTGTGCCCATGTGTCTAAGCTCTGGCCTCTGTAGCAACAGAAGCAAGTCCAGGATCTCACAATCCTTACAATATTGAAGATGCTGTCAGATTCCCATCGGCCATAAAGCCTCTTTCCAGGACTGTGATTTTGTGATTCGTAATAGGAAACACAGATTTGGCCTTCATCCCTGCTCTTGGCCCCACAGCTCCTAAACCCTAGGGGGACTTCCTAAGTCATAAAAGCAATGGGAGCATCTTTTGTTATAACATTTGGTCTTTGGTCCCAGGTCCCATAAGCTCATTCAACCACCCCTGAGTCTATGTTAATGAGGTGATTTCTGGAAAGCTCCTAGGTGACCACGGGAAGGGGGACAGTTGCCAAGGAGAAACAGCCATGCAATCAAAAGGATGGATCTTTCAGCCTCCCCCACCCTGACCTCTGGAGGAGAGAGAGGCTGGAGGTTGACCTAATCACTAATGGTCAATTATTTAATCAATCCTACATAATAAAGCCTCCATAAAAAATCCCAAGTAGGGGTTTAGAGATCCTGAGATCAAGAGTTGCTTGCTTTAATTAAACTTCTGGTTTAATTAACATGTGGAGGTGCTAGGAGGGTGGTATGCCCAGAGAGGACACGGAAGCTCTGGATCCTTCCCCTATGTCCTGCCCCACATGTCTCTTCCATCTATTCTCTGCAATAAATCAACAAGAGTAAGTCAACTGTTTTTCCTGAATTCTGTGAGCCTCTTTGGCAAATTATCAAATCTGAGGAGAGGGTCATGAAAACCACTGACTTAGAGCCAGTTATTCAGAAGCACAGGTGACAACCTGGATTTGTGACTGGTACCTGAAGCAGGGGTGGGGGTAGTCTTGTAAGACTGAGCCCTTCACCTGTGTGGTCTGCACTAATTCCAGGTAGATAGTGTCAGAACTGAGTTGTAGGCCACCTAGTTGGTGTGGGAGTATTGCTGACACATCTAGCATCAGAGAAAAGTACCGAGAGTAGAAGGCTGAGTGGAGAGCAGAGAAGAGTTTTCCTCCACAATGATGAACTGCCCCAGGGACTTCAATCATTCCTCACACTTCATGCTCTCCAAACAAGTCATTAAAACAACCTTACCAGAAACTGCACACACAGTGTGGCTTTCCTGGGAGACTCTTCCTGACACTGCTATGATTCTGCACACTTCTGGGATTGCTCATTACCTTATTGCCAGCCTTGATTTTATCCCAAAATGGTATTACCCTAGTTTGAACATCACATTTGCCTTTCAGGGACTCTGAAATGGTTATAAAAATAAAATCCACCTTGAAATAATGATTTATTGTGCCTGAGGGTATTCATAAGTATATACTGGGAGTTCTTAAAGTAATAAAATCAAAACCATAAAAAACAACAACACTGTTGGTTAACTTTGAAAACTATCCCAGTGGGGTAGCCTTTCTAATTATGACACAAAACCTGGAAGTCATCATAAGTCTATATAAAAATATAAATTAGTTAAACTTAAATACATAAAAACAGTAAAACTGTGCATTGAAAAAAACACCATAAATTCAAAAAGTAATAAAATGGGAAAAAACTTGCCACACATTCTGTCACAATGACTAATTTCCCTAATGTATAAACATTCTTCTAGTAAGAGAATGATCACAATCTCTCAGAAAAATTGGCACAGGACATGGACAGATGTTTCACAGAAAAAGAAATGCTCTTAGACATACATATGACATGAATTAGGCCAGTGCACAGAAAAATTACCATCTGACGACATGGTCACAATTTAAAACATTCCTGCCTTTGGATCTGGCAATGTCAGCATGGCTCACGTATGGATGTGGTACTGGAAACAACCTGATGCCGGGGGTCCTGTCATCCAGATATATGGATGACACCAGCCACTGGAGGACTGAGGCAGCTCAGTGTGCATCAACAGTGTAGCTGTTCTGAGTGAGAACAGGAAAGTGCAGGACATGTGGGCAGGAGGTGGTGTGTGGGACGTGCTAGAAAGATCTGAGCACATATATGCACACAGCTTATGTGAAGTGGGGCACACCAGAGGGAACAAAATTCTTACTGTATCTCTAGTTTGACTTTTACATGTTAGGAGGTGCATATGTAGTTACTTCTTTTTTAAAAAACAAAGCCTACTTTATAATCACAAAAGACACAGCAAAATGACTTGCGTACTTTGCTGGAACTAAAAATATTCCATGACTTATTTGGTGATCTTTTGGGAAACTTCCAGTTGTTGCCACTTTTTCAGATGTGAGATCACTAACCTATAAATGGACCAAATCAATTTTCACTTTTACCTTCATACACATTTGATCATGGCCTCTGGAAGTTCCTTAAATATCTAACTTGTTAGATATTATAGAAGGAAAAGGCTGGGGAAACCCTGCCAAGGCAGGGATGGTGAGGTGCTGGTAGTTGGATTTTCTTGCCCTTTTCAAATGAAGGTTTCCTAGCTGTAGTCCAAATGTGGCTTTTTATTTAGGTAAAACACCTTCCCTTCTTTGTCTTTTTCTGCTTATGTCATATGCACACCTCCAGACCTCTGCCCCAGGGTTTAAATTCTGGGGAAACCACTGGGCAGAAGGTGATTAACCTTATCTTGTCAGTGGATTTTGTACTGGGGTCTTCCACCAGCCTTCTGAAGTTGGGCCAGTGACGATCAGACCACAGAATCAGGACGCTCAGAAAAGGGGGTAACTGCTCCCCCATCTCCGTGGGCACAGCACTTCAACATCAAAGGTTTTACACTTCGATCCCTCCCTGCCTCCACCCCTTGGGACGAAGGGCTCTTGGAGGTAAGGAGTAAAACTAACCTCCTGTAGCTCTCTGCAGAGCCCTTTCCCCAACACAGGCCTCCACTTATGGGCTCATTCAGCAGTCACTTCGGTCTTGGTCCTGCAGTGGCCCTAAGTAGTTGAGGGGCCAGACCCTATGCTCACACCCAGTCTTTGTCTGGCATGCAACCCCTTTCCAGCTGTCCCAGATTAAAGCCAGATCCTCAGAGAACACACTGCAAGCTGGGGCACAGCATCTGCTTGAGAACTCCACACTGCATGTGGCTGTGGGTCACAGTCCCAGGGAAGAGGGGAGCTCTACTGGGAAGGCAAGGGGCTTGCCTATAACCACGGGCATGCATGATGGCCTGAGGATGGCCTCCCTATGCCCTTCTGCTGTTTTCTCCTTATGAGGCACACTGACAAGAGTTAATGTGCCACCTGTCACCCGGCATGGACAGTTCTTTGTTTCAACTATAGTAAACAGGGATCTCAGGGGCTTTTCCACCAGGGGGTGAACATTGCTGATGCTCACCTAGAAGAGTGACTGGAGAAGAAACCCTTGTAAACCCTTTATTTTGAGTGGAACACATGAGATTCAGCTTATTCCATATACCATACATTCACTGCAGAACGACTGTGGCCCCAGGGCCTATGTCTCACAGACTTCACATCCCGATGCAAGAGGGCCCAGAGCCAGTGTCCTACAGAGGCCCCAGACAATGGGCATAGCCCTGTACCCCAGCAGAGCCTCAAGAAGGCAGTTCTGGGGACTGCAGTCCACCTGACCCACAGGGGGATGGTGTGTGTCTTCAACACTGCTCAGCTGCAAATGGCTCATGGTAGCAATACATTCACTGGGGCTCAGAACACAGCTGCTACACAAACACCCAGCACCACACAACAGAGATGTCACTCACACAGCACAGCCATAAATATTGTAAGCAGGTCATGCTCACATTCAGACCTCCTCTGAAGAGCTGGGACACACAGAGGTATTTCCCCCAGCCCTCTTCTACTCACAAGGCCAACTTCATCAGCTTGCCCCAAGCCATCCAAGAACCTGAGAAAACAGACCTCTGGATGACCTCGCATGTCCATAACCAAAGAGGAGGCCAATGCATTCAGGTCCGCCCAATTCACTGTCCCAGAGGACATGGTGGTTGCCACTTGGCCCACCCTGAAAGCAGCCAGAACAGCCTATAAAACCTCCCCACCAAATCTCTGGGGAGAAGGTGGAGGTCCACCCTGGGGATGAGAGGAGGGACCAGACAGGGGCAGGGAGACAAAACAAGACTCCTGTCACAGAAACACGTTACAGTCACCCCAACCCTGCATACAGGGGAGGGATGGGGGATGGTGTGCCTGTGTCATACTAAACTTGACATGTGCCCTTTGCCCTGTCTGGTTTACTGCCCACCTGGGGCTGAGGCAGGAGGAGACACTAGGCCTGGTCACGTTCTAGCCCTCTGCCTGTCCAGGGGCAGGTCTGCAAGGCCAAAGGGAAAGGGGTGGCAGCCCGAGCAGTGGCTTCCTCCCAACACATCAAGGCGTTCCACACAGGTCTGTTCTCATGGAGATGGAGCCGCTCTGTAAGGATGGCTGGGGCAGCTTGGCCACTATGAGGCTGGATTCTTCTGTCTTCTCAGGGAGTCGATGTAATGAAAAATGGCCCCCAGAGCCCAGCTGGTCTCAACATTGTTGATTTTCCGAGTCAGCTTGAAAACACAAAGGAAGGCACAGAGTGGGCATGGTTGGGAGGCTGGAAGCAGTACCCCCAGCCCTTGGGGTCATAAAGGGCACAGGAGCACCCAGAGACAGTCTTTACCTTCAGCACTTTGTTCTCTGGGAAGCCAAACTCTTGGAGCAGCAGGCTGATGTAGGTGAGGTCCATGCACAGAAAGGGGTTGCCTGGAGGATGGGTCTCCGCTGTCCTGCACACTGGGGGTGAGAGAGCCCTTTCCCAATCAGATTCCAAGTGGTTCATTCCTGGGTAGGATGGGGGGGCTCTATGCAGACTAGACTCCACCCACCCCAGGTGCCCACCCTTCACAGGGCTCTATGTTGGCCCCAGGTTCTCACTGATTTAGAAAAGACTGAAGCCCAGAGTGGGAAGGTGATCTGCCAAGAGCACACCAAAGGGTAGGGTCTCAAAGCTAACCAGCCTCCCCCGGGCCTGGCCTCCAAGACCAAGAGGGACTTGTGTGTCTTGTCTTGGTGTCATGGGCCTAAGGTCAAAGTCTCACAGGGCATAGCTCTGCACCCATGACTTCTAGATACCTCTCTCAGGGGTGGATCTGGGCTTTCTGGAGAATGAAAACACCAACAAATCTGGCTCAGAACATTCAACTCTTATTCTCAAGGAGGATGAACAAACCTACCAATAGCCTTCCCAGAATTCTGCTCAGAACCTTTTCCTGTTGAAGAGTCATGACAAACCCCTAAGTGACAAGAAAACTTGAAAAAAAAAAAAGCCACTTTGAAGGGGAAGGGGAGAAAGGACTTTCTATAGAGAAACATATGAAGTTTAACTCTTTTGATCTGCAATTAACAACAACAACCAAAGAGCAGAATATTTACAGACAGCCTTCATTTCACACCCCAGCCAGCCAGATTGAGTGGGATGGACAAAGGAGGAGAGGAAGGGGGACTGCTGGGTCAGCTACCTGCAAACTCAAGGGGAATAGCTCTTCACTCCCTACATGTTGGGCTCTGCTGTGCAGGGGTTGTTGGTGTGACGATTGTGAATTTGCTGGGACAATATCAGGGGAAATCCCTGAACTGCAGTGAAGAGGTGTCAGAAACAGTGAAATCAAGGGAGTCCATTCCTAACAACCTTAGAACTAGAAATATGCCATATCACAGCCAGGGACACTGAGGCTCCCCTCTCCCCCTGCCGTGGCCACACAGGATATGGCTGATCTGTGGTCTGGGCCCAGCACAGTGACCCCAAGCACCCTCTCCCACCTCTGAACACTCATCTGCCTGGCTGAATCAGGAACTAAATCCAGAAGTTCTCAGTACTGCCTCACAAGCACCAAGGTACATCTGCCACACAGAGGGACTGGGTCCCTGTCTCCCGCTCTGGGTCTTCTCACCCGGGCAGTGCAGCCATCACTTACCATACTTGGCTGCGATATCAAAGTCTCCCACGACGAGGCTGCCTCCCTTCTCCACATCTGTGGGATAAGACCAAACACCTGGTCTGTACCAGCATCCCTGAAGCAGTGATGCCACCAATGCCCTGAGGCTGGTGCCCATGAGAGGATGATGTAAGGCGGCGTATCCAGGCTGACTACAAGTGGGGCAGTGGCCCTCCCATGCACTGATCATTTGTCCAAAGTGACGTGGCTGGGGGTGGGTAGGTGTTCCATGCAGGACACCGCATGGGGATGATTAGCACAATCATGGGACTTAGAGGGTCCCTCAGAGGAAAGGCACCAGGATCCTTGGACCCCAGAGACTGGGCAATCTCTTAATTTTAAGTTAAAAAAAAATAAAAGGGAAGAATTGGATACATTTTCTCAAGCTGTGGCCCAGAGTTCAGCAATGGTATTCTGGTATCAATTTTATGAATGTGGAAAAAAAATTCTATAAAAAAAGTCAAATAGTGGTTTGCCAGGTCTTAGATCAAATGGTCAGAGAGACTTTACAGGGCTCTCCAGAAGGGAATGGCCCCAGCCTTCTGTGACATTCCTAGGGAGGGAGGCATGGCAGCTGTGTCTCCCAACTCTCAAGAATGGTGATTGTTTCTTCAACGCACCCCAAAACCTCTACTTTTCAAAGAGGGGCCTTGAGATATCCCACACACTTATGTTTCGTAGGGGGCAGCTGCTCAGTGAGCTGAATTTTCCTTGACTTTGGGCATTTGCTCAGTCAGCAAATGTCACATTGAAGATGGATACCATTTCTGAAAACAGACCTAAGCAGCTCTTTCAGAGCCATGTGTGACCACAAAAGGGAGTTGGAAGAGCTTTTCTGAACAGGCCAGCATCTCCCGAGGTCACTCTGGGAGGTTGTTGGTCCCCTAGGGAAAGGGCAACCTGCAGCCAGTGATAAGGTGATGCTGGGAGGTGTCTCTTCAAGCCAGCCTAGGGGAGTGGAGTCCCCCAGTGTGCTGCCAGGCCAAATTTGTGTGTGGTAGGCCCTGAGCATCGTGATGTCCGCAGCCAGTGGCACAGTCAGGAGAGTGGGGATCAACTAACGTTGCTCCAGGTATAGGGAGCCTGCAGGGGCCCTCAGACCTGGCAGGTCAAGTGGCCATAGGGCCAGCTACCAGGAGGTAGCTTGTTCTATGCCAGAGAGAGAGACCTGGGGCCTGAGCAAAGGGTGAATAGAGGTCATTTTCCACCTGGACTACCCACCCTTGGGTGGTAGTGTTCCACACTGGTCCCAGGCAGCAGGTGGCTCAGGGAGCCTGGAGACGCCACAGTGCCCATAAGCTCCTGAAGCTGGTCAGTGGGCTGACCCCTCCCCATGCCAGCCTAGGTGCCAGATGGGGAAAGATGGCCATGTCACCAAGGGCTCCCTCAGCTAGAGACCTGGGGGTCAGGCAGGAATGGCTGAGGGTCTGAGTTACACAGGTGCGTCAGTTCTGCCTTAGAGCAGAACAACTCAACAGCAAGTAACTGTTTTTGCACTGACATTGTATTACTAAGTGGCTCAAAAACCTGCTTTATTTTTGAAAAGGGGGCTTACTATTGCCTATATGGATGACAAGACACTTGCCCTCCTGTCTACTTCCAGCTGTGAGGGTCACTGATGACATGATTACTCTCTGCCGTGGGCCCTCTGCACACCTCAGCCCCACCCTTACCTATGAGGCCAACATTTGCTGCAAGGTCATAATAGTAGGAAAAAGCATAAAAATCCACATCCTTCACTTCTTCTGTTCTATGCACTTTGTTTCGAAGGATTTCCGACACTCTGCTGGCACACAGCTCATGGAGGTTCACTGCTGAGGCAAAGGAGAAGCACAAAGATAGCAGTTTGGGGGCTCAACACCTGGGCCACGCAGCCCCCAGGGCTCTGTCCAGTGATTTGAGGCCCTGACCTGGAGGGTGTGGCAGGGCAAAAAGCCTGCAGAGCACCTACCTTGAGTCAGGGTGCTCATCAACACCACACATATCAACAGCAAACTTTCAGGAGCCACAGCACTGTGGGCCCAGGTCAAGGAAGAGAAACCCAAAGCATGAAGGTGGCCAGAGATGGTGTGGTCCTCAACCCTGAAGGACATCGGCCCTTGGCTCAGCACACACAGCTGTCCTAATGCAGCCCAATGGGTTCAAGTTCACACTGTTTACTCTCTGCTAGCCCTTACTGAGCTCTGAACATACAGGCTATCCCATCAGCCACTGTGGAAGTGAGACCTGCACCCTCCTTATGTCACAGATGAGGAAACTGAGGCCTAACAGGCAGCTTGCCAAGCTCACACAGCTGGCAATTAACCCCTTGCTCGGAAGGACAACAGAGAGCCCCAGAGGTTATCAAACGTGGATATCCCATAGCCCACCCCTGGACTCAGCTTCCCATCTCCCCCAACAGACCTGCCCATGGCCTGAAAGCATGGAGCCAGTTCTCCCCTTGTCCTTGTCCGCTGGATCTCATTTCCCTCCACTGTCCCTTGTCAGGATAGCCATACTTCCACTTCCTCATTCCTTAAACACAGCAGCCATCCCAGGGCTTTTATACTTGCTGCTCCTCTGGCCTGGAGAACTGCTGCTTTAGATCATCTGTGTGCCTTATTCTCCATCTCTTTAGGTCTTGGCTCAAACACCACTCCATGAAGCCTTCCCTGGCCATCATATTTAAAACAGTTATCTTCCTTTCAGGTTCCCCCTCCCCACAATCCCTTCTGTTTCTTTCTTCAAGTTACTTTCTTGTTTATCAATTCCTCCCACTGAAATGTCAGCTGTATGCCAGTGGCTGCAACAGGGCCTGATGCATAGGATGTGCATGAGCAGCTGGCTGAGTCGGTGACCTCCATGGTCAATAATAAGAAACATATATTTGGTCTTTGTTCTGGACACAGCTTCTAAAACCCTTGGGATTTCCTGAGGGATGGAGATAAGAGGAAGATCTTCTGTTACTCAGGATAAATCCGCCCCTTTTTCTCAAGTATACCTGATTTTATGTGAATGAGTGGGCTCTTGTTGGTGGGTCCCTGAGTGGCTTCAGGATGGGAGCTGGTTGTCAGAGGAGCCAACCACGTGATTAGAGGGTTGGAACTTTCAGCCCACCCTTCAAAATTCAGGGAGGGCAGGGGGTTGGGGCTTGAGTTAATCACCAGCAGACAATGATTTAATGACCTATGCCTGTGTTGAAGCTTTATACAGCCCTAAACAATAGGTTCTGTGAGCTTCCTGGATGGTGAACACATGAAGGTACTGGGAGGTGGTGTCCCCAAGGAGTGCATGGAGGCTCCACACCCCTTCTCCAACACCCTGTCCTATACATCTCTTCCATTTGGCTGTTCCAGACTTGTGCCTTTTATAATAAAACAGTGATATTATGTAAATTGCCTTCCTGAGTTCTGTGAGCTATTCTGGCAAATTATTTGGGGGTGGTGGTGGTGGTTCGTGGGAACCCCTAATTTGTAGTCAGCTGGTCAGAAGTATAGGAGGCCCAGGACTTGCTATCTGCATCTGAAGCAGAGGGGGGTGAGGGGAGTCTCGCAGGTCTGAGCCCTTAACCTCTGCAGTCTGCACTAACTCCGGGGTGAGTCTGAACAGAATTATTCATGTGTGGAGAACTGGTGGGTGTGGGGAACTCCCTCCCCTCCCCTGCCCACATTTGGTGTCAGAAATGTGAGTAGAAATAGCTCTGTCACCAAAGACAGACAAACCTCATGCCCATTATGTCCAGCCTGGAAACAGTTCAATGTTTCTTTTAGCAAAATCTAAAGGAGCACAGAGCAACCGAAGACCACGTGGGGCAAGAGGGGTCAGGCTGGTGAGACAGCACACCCAATGTCACAGGCTGGGGGGGCTATGCCACCTGGAGCAGCCTCTCCTGTGCTCACCAGGCAGCCTGAGGTGATAGGTGGAGGGAACTGATTCCACTGAAGAAGCCATTTCTCCCTCTTTTCAGAGATAAGCTCACACTGCTACTGGGCCAACAGCCCCAACTTGGCCATTTGTCTTAAGAGTGGTAGAATGTTCAGGTCCTTCCTCACTGGAGGCTTGTTAGGAAGTGCAGTCTTTTGGAAGAAAGTGTGTGGCGACAGACAAGGGAGCCTTGTGCAGAGACCCCATGGGAGCCAACAGTTCCCAGTGTGTTCTGGCAAGGGCCTCCTGCAGCCCTGACAGTTCACAGAGGTGCTTCCATTTCATGGGCAAGTGAGGGCTTGTCTGTGAATGAGGCTTGGCAACAGCCTCCCTGCTTCTGAGAGGTATTCAGAAGGTACAGAAGAGAGGGAAGGCTGCGGATCTTAACCCTCATAAACCACTGATGAACAAGAACTCCACCATACCTGCCTTCTGTCCTGAAATTCTGTATGTTATTTCAGCATGTTGCCACTCTCCTGTGAAACCTGGAGACAAACAAGGGCTGACCAACTCCTTTCCATCCTCAGCTGAAATAAAGAGAAATAAGAAGAAAGGCACGTTATCACAGTAAGAATGGGGCACACATGGATTCTCCTGAGAAGAGGCCTATAACACAGAGGATTATAGGCTAGTGAGGGGAAGATTTTTACCTCTCCCTTAACTACCTAAAAGAATTTAGATAGTGTGTCTAGCCCAGAAACAGGGCTGTTACCAGAGATATTTTAATCTAAGTGACCTCTGTATGGATGGGCAAACATCTAATAACCAAACCTCTGTTCTTGTGTCCTGTGAATCACCTTCTTCCCTTTTAAAGCCCCCAGGCCCCTGGTCTATTTCTTAGCTCAGGATGACACATAGCCTCAATTGCCCAACTTGTCCTTAGTGTCATATTCTTCTGGGGCTCCCATACATTTGTAATTAAATGTTTTTCTCCTATTAATCTGTCTTATGTCAATTTAATTAATATACTAGCCAGAAGAACCTAGAAGGGCAGGAAAAATTTTTCCTCCCCAACAGTTGGGGAGCCAGCCAGGAAAAACTTCACTGGCTGCAAACTGCCTGTTCTGAGGCTGCTGCAGCTGAGAGATCCTGAGACTTCTGAAGGGTGTGGCACAAGGTACGAATTTTGTCAGGCTCCTGAATCTCTGCCTGTAGGGTCCAGTGGAAATGAGTGGTGAAAATCTCCCCCCACCCTTCTAAATTTAGATTAGCAGGAGAAAATATTTGTACAAGTTCCTTGGGTATGGTGACTCTGGTAAAGATTTATTATTAACACTCTTGACTTTTTTATTGATCCTTTTTGTTGCAGAGATGGTCACTGCTCTTCTCTGGTCTGTCATCATTTGTCATAAGAAGGAAGACCACAGGGTAGAACGCAAGCCTAGGTCCTATAAGCCTGCTGAGTTCACAGTTCCCACCAGACTAGTGTCTGTTTAGACAAATGTTGCTGTGGGTCAATATGCACATGAGGTAAAGAAGTTGCTAGGGGACATCTTGGAAGCCAAAGCCACAAAACAGGTAGGCATGGGTCAAGCACTTAAAAGCTGTCAGAGTGCTCCCTGTCTAACCCAAAGACTGCTGTGTTAGGATGAGTTAGTCACAAAACAGGCCAGACTGACACTAGGTCACCTGTGAACCTTGAGAAAACTGCCATATGAGGTACTCTGTAAAACACTTCACAATCTCTAACCCAGCAACACATCCCTCTCAGGTACAGTTTGGCTGAGACACCAAAGGCTCAGCTAAAGCTGTTAATGTGCCTATAAGGGACTTTCCTTTCATTTTGTTTATATATTGAGAGCTTGTCTTTATGACCAGTGAGAATATTCTCTCTGTACACATCACATGCATCTCGGTGGCTAGCTGAGTAGTCTGTGGTTCCGAGACTTTAAGTCACAAGAAGCGCTCTTTGTCTGACCAGGCCAGCTCTCAGGAGAGTTTGTCACAGGGGTCCTGGTCCATATGGGGTTTTTGTCATCTCAACCTTCACTGTTTTGTCAGTGCTGAAAAAGTCCCATTTTAGCAGTGCCTACCTGGTATCTGATTAGCAGGTGTGTGACTGGAGGTGCCTCATGTTCTCATGGGGAACTGGAAAGTGTTTTCATGCCATCATTCTTACTGCTTGCAACAACAAAAGGCTTTACTTTCTTAGACTATTTCTGGGAGTAAACTTTCTGGATCTTATAAGGGCCCATCATCTTTTGGGACACTTCTTGTGTTCATGGTTAAGCCATAGAAAGGCTTATTGGTTTGAGTCACTATTGAGATTAATATAAAAATCCTGCTCACCAATGGCCAATGAATCCTTTGAATTGATAATATTTGAAAGAAAGAAAAATATTTTTGAGAGTTCTCAATTATTATCCTAAATAATTGTCTTATTGGTACCTATAGAAAGACCAAGTTAAAAAAAAAAAAACAGACACGAAGAAATGTAACAGCTAAGCTTTAGGGACTCCTTTAATAAGATGGGGCAGGGGGAAGAAAGGAAATTAGACTTAAAACAAAAATGAAAGTCCCCATCCAACATAAATTTCTTGAAATCTGGCCCTGTCTCCTCAGCAAATTCCCTTAACTCCCAAACTCGTTCACCTTCCCCAGAAAATCCCTTAAACACTGAACTGCTTACTTTAGCTTCCCTTTCCCTACAAGATTTACAGAGAGCACTCTGGCCTGATCTCTATGCCCAGGGTATACAAGTTATACATATAAATACTAAAAGCCAAAAAACAAATTTAACAGTAGCACCCGAGGTAGACAATAAGGCTTAGAGAGAAAGCTCCTTGCTATAATCAGGCTCTGCTGGCTTTAGGCCTTCCTGTGCAATGTCCTTTACAGCTACATCCTAGATTCCCACCCAAATAATTCACATCCCTAGATAGCAGATTTTTAAAATTGTAAAGCCCTTAAAGGGCCTTAAAAGTCTTGACTTTCATTGGATTCTACCAAATTAAAAGAAAATCCCAGATTAATGTCCATTTACAACCCTACTCATAGGGACCTTGTTTGGGTGCTAAGGGGCATTCTTCCCATCCATGGTTATATTGTAGTTATCAGACAAGCCAGATAGCTCCCTGAAAGCCCCCGCCCCCACCCAAGGAAACAGATGACTAGCATTTCTCCTAGGACCTCCTATAAATGATCAGCTGAAGGCTGATGTTAGGGGCTGATAGGCTTTTCTTCCTAAGATGAAGGTCCAAGGTTGAAATGTGCACCCAGAAAGGAGGCCTTTGTTAAAATACTATATATAGACTTTACAAAGGCATACTGCATTAATCCCGGAAAACATCTGCTGTTTGTCCAGACTGAAAACTGCCAAGACATTTAAAAGATTTTTTTAAATAGCTCTGTGGCTGGAGACCGGCCAGACTGGAAAATGATATTCAGAGACTGATAGGATTTTTTAGGTCTTTTCCCCTAAGCTAAAATGAAACTATGTTCTCAGAGGAAAAGAAAAATCTTCTGAAGCCTCTATAAAAAGTTTTATTACTAAAACACTACAAAGCTCTTATATATATATATTTATATATATATATATACATATACATATATATATGTAATACATATATATATATATATAAACATATTAATATAGTTGGATGGGTGGATCAAACTATGATATCATTTAAGCTGCAACCCAATTCTTTTAAAGAATTGAGAACTGTCCTTGTCTTACAAATCTTTACAAAACTAACAATGCAGCTTTACAGGCAGCTCAAAGCTCACCTGTTCTTTTTCACCAATCCTCTCCCCCTCAATTTATCATCAACATGCATTCTTCCTTGTGCCTTTGAAATTGAAATGTTAAAGTACAAAATTCAGAGAGGTAAAACAAAAAAGGGAATGGTCACTTGGAACTTGGGCTCATAGGAAATTTTAAGTGTATGGAAACTGTAAGGTCTCAGTTTGCATCTGTTGATATGTTTATGTATTCTATATGTATGTGTTGTAATTGGGTGATATCTTCTATGTCCAAATGGTGTCAACAAAACTAATTTGTAAGAGAGCTCTATTTAATTGGCTTAAAGAAATGAAGTGTTTACATAAATTGAATTCTCAAAAATATACAGAAACTAGGGATGCCTGGCTGGCTTAGTTAGGGAGCATGTGACTCTTGATCTCAGGGTCATGGGTTAGAGCCACATTGGGCATAGAATTTACTTAAAAAAAAATTAAAGAATAAAATACTTTATTCTTTTTTTCTTTTTTTTTTTGAGAGAGAGAGAGAGAAAAAACGAGCATGCATACTTGCGAGAGGAGGAGGGGCAGAGGGAGAGAGAGAAAGAATCTTAAGCAGGCTCCAGGCTCAGCACAGAGCCAGATGCAGGGCTTGATCCCATGACCCTGGAATCATGACCTGAGCTGAAATCAAGTCAGTCACTCAACTGACTGAGCCACCCAGGCACCCCAAAGACAAAAATCTTAAAAAAAAAAAAAAAAAAAAAAGAAACTAACCCAAATGTTTTCAAGTTAATGTGATCTAGTATTAACCTTTAGTAAATAAAAACTAGTTTAAGTTTGTTGATTAAAACAGGCAGGTCTTCAGAAGTTAATCAGTATGGCAGAGTGCCTGGGTGGCTCAGTGGTTGAGTGTCCGACTCAACTCTTGATTTCAGCTCAGGTTACAGTCTCAGGATTGTGGGACTGAGCCCATGCTGAGCATGGAAAACTGCTCAAGCTTCTCTCTCTTCCTCTCAAATTAAAAAAAAAAAGTTACTAGTATGAAATATGAATATCACTATGAATATCACTATATCACTTTTATTCCACCTTGATTTACTTAAGGTCAAATAAGCTCATGCCATCTTTTACAAAAATCTATCAGCCAGAAAAATAGCTTGGGATGATGGCTGACTTTGTCTAAGGTCTCATAAAGCAGTCTAAACACAGTTGTTAAGAACAAGTAAATTAAATAGATACAAGTAGTATATGAGATTTTTAGGTGAACTTTTCCACAATAATTATGTTTTATGGTATGTATACTTAAAAAATTTTCCCAAATCTTTTGGATAAGCTAAAGCTTTAAACTTTTGCTAAATGATGATTTAAGTTAAATTCACTGACTATCCAGACCATTTCTAATTAAAAGAAAATACTAGAATATTAATTACTGAACATAGATTTATACACTTTTATTTCCTTTTGCAGAAGAACTAAAAGGTATTTGGATCATGAGTAAACATATGCCATACTGAAAAAAAAAACTGTGCTATGAGGAAGCATATGTCTCTAAGAATTATTGTTTATTTATTTGGGGGGGGAGGGGCAGAGAGAGAGGGAGACACAGAATGTGAAGCAGGCTCCAGCACAGAGCTGTCAGCACAGAGCCTGATGTGGGGCTTGAATTCACAAATGGTGAGATCATGACTTGAGCCAAAGTTGGAAGCTTAACCCACTGAGCCACCCAGGCACCCCTAGAAATTATTAAATGTATTCATAAGTTTGCCAATCTAAACAATGCTGGTGTGACATAGTTTACAACTGTTAACTTCTTAGGGGTTCTAAGAGTTAATTCTAATTAATATAT